TTTTGCTGTTGTTGCATTTTCCGTTTGGTGCCAGGAAAGCAAAAAGTTTCTTTAATTTATTCATGCCTGCCTACATACATGCATGTGTGTGCGCGGTAGAGCTAGTGCTTCTATGTGTGTGATCTTCTCTTGCTGTTTGCTTTGTTGCTTAATGCTTAGACTGATTACAAGCTATTTATTTAAAAGTAGATATAATTTAGCACACATTTATCTCACACATACGTCGACTCACATCGCATTTATTTCGTATCTAAAGCGTTAAAGTAATTGCTTAACTAATAGCGAGGGGTGCAACAGCAAAGTGATATGTGTGGCGGCTTGTTCTCTAACATTGTTGGACCCCTCTCGCAAATGTGCGGAAGTATTTCTCCAACATCATATCATCAAAAAATTTTGCTCTGTATTTTATAGAACGACAAATGGTTACTTTTGTAGTTAAATTTTATGGACTACCTTCAAACTTAGATATACATAAATTGTATAGGCCAAAGAGAGCAGAGCAAAGTTATTCATATGGATCATATTTACGAATATTGTAATTAAAAATACTGATTTCAGTTCAGGCTAAAAAAATAGTTTTTATGATAGCCCTCCAATACTTTTTGAGGCTTCGTTTGTTGAGATAAAAAAATTTTTTTAAATATTTAGATTGACTTTTATATTAAAAAAATTATTTTATTTTACTTTATTTATATTAATTTAATTTAATTTAATTTAATTTAATTTTATTTAATTTTATTTAATTTTATTTTATTTTATTTTATTTTATCTTATTTTATTTTATTTTATTTTATTTTATTTTATTTTATTTTTTTTATTTTATTTCATTTTACTTTAGTTTAATTTAATTAATTTTATTAAATTTAATTTTTTTTATTTTATTTAATTTAATTTTATTTTACTTTATTTTATTTTATATTATTTTATTTTATTTTATTTTATTTTATGTTATTTTATTTTATTTTAATTTATTTTATTTTATTTTATTTTATTTTATATTATCTTATTTTATTTTATTTTATTTTTCTTTATTTTATTTCATTTTACTTTAGTTTAATTTATTTAATTTTATTAAATTTTATTTTTTTTTAATTTAATTTAATTTAATTTAATTTAATTTAATTTAATTTTATTTTATTTTATTTTATTTTATTTTATTTTATATTATTTTATTTTATTATATTTTATTTTATTTTATTTTATTTTATTTTATTTTATTTTAATTTATTTTATTTTATTTTATTTTATCGCGGGATCTGGATGCAGGGTCGCATATGTAAATCTCTCTATGAGAAAATAGAACGCCACCCTGAAGTAATGCAAACGTGGTTCCAGCGGGGGCGACGGTTCCTTAGAGATCGGGTGGTTTAGTGACCTGCAAGAGGCACATACCGTTGCTGTGACGACAGCTTTTATGATTCTTCCACCCCCTTGCCCGCAAAGAAAAGAAAAATAAAACATAAATTGCATACATTGATTGGATTTTAATTTAATTTAGTTTAGTTTAGTAAAATTAATTTAATATTATTTAATTTTATTTTATATTATTTAGATTTATTTTACGTATTTTTCTTATCTCTGAAATCGAGTTATTTTACGTTAAGACTGATTTGACTAACAGCTGGTCGACTACCAGCAACTCTGCAATCGCAAGGTCTTTTTAGCCCAAGGTAAATTGTAAGAGGTCCAGAGAAACCTTCGCAATCAGCAAAGTCCAGCCTTTAATGGTTTGATAAGTTCTAACTTGACACTGGCCAATCGAGATTCATGCAGTAAGATAGAATAATTTAAAATTAAAAATAATTGCACCAACTTTTTGAAAGAAAATTAGAATCTTCTCAAGCCTTCCCCCTCGAACGTCTCGCCTGTGCCAGATCAAGGCAAAACACCTCGGATCTCATATTTTTAGATATACAGGTGAAAACGCGGAAATTTGGATATAACTCCTAAGAAGATTTGTGATAAGTTCAGAGCGTATTTGCGGTTAGCTGATATCAAAATACAGGAGTTTTTCGTCTGGTTTCACAAAGGATTCTACATAACAGTGTAGGCGTGATCCCCTGACATGCTTCGAGATCAGTCATCTAACCGATAGACTTAAGGAACTGTTGAATAACTATATATATCTATATATTAAAAAGCCATGTCTCGCAAATATGTTGCCGCATAGAGTAGCTAATGAAATATTATGTTACGTATACGCCCCACAATCTACAAGGTAAAGTGAGCTTTATGACCAGAAAATAATAGTTGAGTATATTAGTTATTTTATAAAATTAAAAATTCTCCAAAAATATTGATTTATTTTTAAAATATAAAAATATTCTAAAGTATATAAATTTATTTATCCTTACTGCTCAACCAGCTATTTCCTACAGGTCTGCAAGATACCTAAAAAATTCAGCATATTTTATAAAAACAATATTTGCTGTTTGTATGTGCTCAAATATTGTTATTATGGTATTATGTAGCGGTGTGTGTGTTTAGGTAAGACTACCGGCAACACCTTTTGTTTTATATTTGAAACAATAGAGCAGGCTGGTTGGCTGTACAAAGCACTAAAATACAATAGATCCCACTACCTACGCCTTTATATATATGTACATATATATACATATATATATAGATGTATGTATAAACATGTATATGTATGTGTGCTCTGAGCAGTTGTTTGCATTTGCAGTCATTATTTTGTGTAACTTTCGCTTTTGTTATTAAACGCCGGTAGGTACATGCATGTGTAGGCACCTATTTCAGTTTTGAATTACTGTACTTTATTACCTCTTCCTGCCGGCTGCAGAGTACTGTGTAATCATATAAATGAATCCATACCATTCGCACGATTACGGTGTTGCCAGTGAAAGCAGTGGATTTTGCTTTGTCTAGCAGCAGCGATTGCCTGCTTAACAGTGTGATATATAGCTGTCATTTTAAAATATGCTTTTGGCAGTGCTGTTTGGACTCACTCTCTTACCCCTTTAGGTTATTATTAGGATGCGCGCCACTTGAACTGATTTCAGCACTTACACCCTGATTGTGTGAGTGTGTTTTTGCTTGTGCCTTTCTATGCGTTTAGCTTAATTTTGCGTAATTTATATTTTATACCTTTAAGTATCTTCAACACAAGATGTTACATGATTTATTGTTGGCTTTGTTATTGCGTTTACTGCTGTTGCTTTGGCCGTTTTTATTCATGCCTACTGCCAACGTTTATATACATGCATTGTTATTGTTCTTATCCTTGTTGTTTGCCTGTTATTGCTAGCAAATAAGTCTATGCAAAAAGAGTAAGGTGGCAAATATGATAAAGTAGATATAATCAAGTTTAATTTACTTGCTCGACGCTTTGCTGCTCCTCGAGGTAAATAAGTCTACAATTTGCTTGCTTTTCCCCTTCCGCATTGTTGCATGTGTCCTCTATGTAATTGCGGGTGTGTATGCATCTATTTAGCAGTACAGAGAGTTGTTTGTTAACTCCATTAATTTTAATAGCCGAAAGCTGTATGCAACGTGGCAAGTTTACCTGGAAGCATTAACCGAAATTGGTGGCAATAGACCAGCATTTAATTTAATGAAGCCACTGTCATAGACTTTAAATACGAAATCAAAACCGAAAGTTGCAGATTTCTCTGAAAGAAGCTGTGTGTTTAATGAAAATGCTTAGAAAGTTAACTTCTGCGTACCAATCAATTTATTATTAGCATAGTTTTGGCTTTCTCGATAAATCTATATTTGCAATCAGCAAAAACTAAAGTTGTTGAAAGATTTCACGACCATTTTGGTATGAGTTGAACGTATGTTGATATATGATTTATTTGAGTGAATTATCAATCGTTTAGCTACTATGTTTTTTAAATTTGAAAATCGATTTTGATTATTTTAACTGTATATATACTAATTTGTAACAATAAATATAATAATAATAAACTTAATTATGAAATATTTTAGTAGGAATTCAAAAACCAACAGCTCTGCCAACTAGAATATTGTACTTTTCTCATGCCATTCTCATTAACTCTAACTTTAACTTTAAGCTTATTTTAAATTGAAAATTTAATTTAATTTAATTTTATCTTAAATTTTAATTTTAGTTTAAATACTAGTTTGTATTTCGATTTTAATTTTTTTCAATTTTAACTTAATTTTAATTCAGATTCTGTTACATTTTTAATTTTAATTTTTGTTTAAATTTAAATTTTATTTTTGAAATTTAATTTTAATTTAAGATTTAATTTTAATTTTACTTTTACCTTTAATTTTAATTTTAGTTTTAATTTTAATTTTAATTTTAATTTTAATTTTAATTTTAATTTTAATTTTAATTTTAATTTTAATATTAATTTTAATTTTAATTTTAGTTTTAATTTTAATTTTAATTTTAATTTTAATTTTAATTTTAATTTTAGTTTTAATTTTAATTTTAATTTAAGTTTTTTTTTTAATTTTAAATTTAATTTAAATTTTAATTTTAGTTTAAATTTTAATTTAAATTTTAATTCAAATTACTAATTTTATTTATAATTTAATTTTAAATAATAGTTTTTATTTCAATATTAATTCTTTTCAATTTTAACTTTAATTATAATTTTTATTTTAATTTTAATTTTAATTTAGTATTTGACAAATATATATATTCAAGTTAAAAACTATCGCTTATTCTCCCAGGCCATGCGAGTTAATTAATTTGTTTTCTTTTCCCTTTCATTTCAGAAAACCGCAAAGGCAAATCAGCCGCAGGCAACAATTGCAGGT